ATACATCATGATCAACCCTTTCATCAATCTCAAATCCCTAATTAAAACTACTCACAACTCATAATTGAATAATCAATAGAATTGGGATGAACAGAATTATTCGCCATCAATAAAAAAGTAGGAACTTACAAATAATCTTAGTGTCTTGAACAAAATAGCGGAAAAACAACGTAAAACTCGTCCCTAGACCTCTCTCAAAATTCCGTAACCTCAAAACGGGGTTATGGAGGTTTTATTTATAGAAAATAGGAAATATCAGGCTCAAACTAGGACTTCCCGCGTAGGCACGACGTGCCTAGCGACCGTGCCTCCGGAACATTCGCGCCTGTCATGGCCAGACACGATCGTGCCTGGCTGGCAGTAGCCTTCTCGTGCAATCCTTCTCCAGGCACAACGTGCCTGCTGATTTCCGTCGCCTGGCTTGTCTTCCGCGTTCGCACGGCGTGCGTAACGCCTAGGTACGGCCGTGTGTGCCTCAAATGTGCACTTAAACTTCGGTTTCTTGCTCCAAATGCTCCTGAATGCTTCGAGATCAATCCTTAAGCTCTTTCTTCATCAAATCATTGTAGTGAACCTCCTAGTGGCCTCCAAAACTTTGGAATCACTCTCAAATGCTCATCAAGTCGTCCCGGTTGCTTCTCAAGCGCCAGTGCCGGACTTCAATTTCCTGATTTTGACTCCAAACAATACAAAACTCGAACCAATGCCCGTTAAACATAACTTGAGCTAAAATTGAGACTTATGACACCTTAGAGCTAGGAGAACCATCAAAAGTCGACCCCAACACGCATCAAATGCGTGTTGAAATACGAACTTATCAGATTCTTAAAGAAGTACGGAGTATGAATTTATATTTGGAATGTTTCAAAAAGTAGAGGGATTTTTATTGTTAGACCGTGGGAGCAACCCACATTGAGCATGGGACTCCCACAGCTGAAAACACGCATGAACAATAATTTTTTTTTCTTGTCCCAGTAGCAGAAAGATGTAACTCGCGTGTAAATAAATGTAACTCACAGTGATAATAAATTTAACTGCAGACAAGTCGAAATGTAACTTGTCTAATCCGGAGTATAACGAATAAAACATTGATTTCAAGGTATAGTAAACAATAAAAACAATTAGTCTAATTGCTCAATTACTTTACTTAAACACTGATATGTTTTGTTTTTAATATTAAGACCATAAAAAATGTTTATGCAATTGTTTTTTGCCCAAAAATTAGTTTTACCAAAAAATCATTTTTTTGCAAAACAAAATGATTTTTTTGTTTTGTTTCAATAGCAGAGGTTTATTTTGTGATGTTACACATGCTGACATACATGTTATGGAAAATGTAAATTGCAATGATGGAAAATATAACTTAGGTATATGCAAAATGTAATTTGTTAAGGCAAGTCCAAATGTAACACGTGCATAGGAAAATGTAATTCACGCATAAAAAAGATGTCATTCGTGCATAAGAAGATGTAACTTCATGTACTATCAAATATAAACAATGAAAACAAGGAATCTAATTGCTCAATAATTAACGTAAATTTTAATATGTTTTGTTTTTAGTTCGTGCATAAGGCCATAAAAATGTTTTTAAGTAAAAATAATTTGTTTGCCAAAAAATCTTTTTTGTTTCCAAAAAAATTGATTTTTTTGTTTCAATAGTAGATGTTTATTATGTGATGTGACTCATGTAATGGAAAATGTAACTCGTGTTGATGAATAATCTAACTTAGGTGTATGCAAAATGTAACATGTTGTGACAAGTCCAAATGTAACTCGCATATAGGAAGATATAACTCATGCATGAAGAAAGTGTAACCTGTGCATATGACGATGTAACTCCAAATAATACTATCAAATATAAAAAATGAAAAAAGGAGTGTAATTGCTCAATTAATTTACGTAAATAGCGATAACATTTTGTTTTTAATATGAAGGCCATAAAAAATGTTTTAAATAAAAATCATTTTTTTCCAAACAAATATTTATGAAAATATAAACCACACATATGAAAAAATGAATTATTAAAAAAGTGTATAAATATAAAAAAAATACTACGTATTACACAAAAAATAAATTTTATTTTAATTTCAATTGAAGAAAAAAAGAAAGAGAAGTGTATGAATAAGCACTAAGATAGAAAAAAAGTAATTAATTTATTTTGAGATGATAAAAATTTGATCACAAAATTGTAATACTATATTCCCGTGTTCCTAAAGTTAAAAAATCATTGTGAAACATGACTCAATGGTTTCTAGCTTTTGATTATTAAAAAAATAAAAGTAAAAAAGGAAAAAGAACAGAAGAAAGCAGTGCGACTAGAGAGAGCACGGTGACCAAAGGATAGCAGCGGTGCAATTAGAGAGAGCATGGGACTAATATATCATGCACATGGTATACCAATCTCCCGATATAATTTGAGATTCTTATCAAGGGACAATGAGAATATATCATGCACATGGTATACCAATCTCCCGGTATGATTTGCGATTCTTATCCAGGGACAATGAGAATATAATGAAATTAATATAGAAAGCTTGGATGTTGTGGGCGATAGAACCCGCGTTTCTTGGTGCGTTGAGGTCTACGTACGTACGTGTGGTGTAACATAGCATGTTAGATTTCCACACATTTAAGGCTTTGCGTGTTTATTCTGCATCATTGCTTATATTGTACATGTGTTGGGTATATGAAAACACCGTCCCATCCTTGCCTGTTTTTATCTCTTCAACCTAATCCAACTTGCCATGTTGCTAGCTAGTAGCTACCTTGCCATGTGTTGGGTATATGAAAACACCGTACCGTCCCATTCTGATCACATATATTTTTCAACAGCGTGGCTGCTTAAATTTGAGAGTATATATGACGTGCATTTTATCGTGATGTGCACTCAAAATAATACGGAGTAATACAATACAACACTTATACATAGTATGACGTAGTAAGGTTCGTATCCGCAGGGAAAGGAATACTTCTGTTTTTATAACTAGTAATAAATGGGGGTTTTAGATTTGTTGTTGAAGGACTTTTAAGAATATTAAAACACAAAGATGAACGAGTTATGTGGTTTAATTAATGAGAAGGAGACTTGGTTTTGCTTTTATCCACTTAATGAAATGTTCGTCGATCCCGGTTATATCTTTAACTATCTTCCTCTCGAATACTCAATCGAGGAGTATCTCCACTTCATCGAGGGTAGTTATTAATAACGATACACGTTCATTAATAAAACTTACTACCGAGTTAATATAGAACACGCGCCGTATATTCACTCGATAGTAGCAATAAAATCAAGATGAAAATGATTGAGATTGATAACCCCAACACAAGCGGTTTATTGGTTTAATCAATATAATTAATTCCCCTTGGTTTATTAACCATGAAACACATGCATTAATAACCCAAGTTTACTACCGTGAAAGGACCGAATTAATAACAAGCGTATTAATCGACCGATTCTAGTAATAATTAATATATGAAACAAAACTAATTGATCCTTTAAGTAATGTTCAAAATATTAATATGAAATATGAATAGGAATTAATTAATACTCAAGGAAGAATATTAAAGAAGATGAATCCTACTATAGTTAATATCAAGATGTTAACTAATTGTCATCTTAGTAACACTCCCCAATATTAACATAGAGGAAGAAATAGCTATTACTATAACTAATGTCAAGATGTTAACTAATTGTCATCTTAGTAACACTCCCCAACATTGATATAGAAATAGTATTTAAAGGAAGAATTAATATTCAAGGAAGAAGATTAAAGAAGATAACTCACAACTTACAAATTCATTAAGCTTCAAAGTAGCAAAACCAAGATATGGAAGTTTAGCTCCTCATTTGGAGACTAAACATGCTATAAAAATAAAAAGAAATATTATTCTAAACTGAGCTTAAGAGTATGGAAGAAGGGATTAATTTTAGTGAAGGAAAAGTGTGCTATTTAAAGGTGTTTTTCAACACCTTTGGCCGGGTACCCGACCGGGTAGAGTATCTATCCGACCGGGTACCGGTCCGAATCAAATATCTTCCACGTTCTAGTGTTCTTCAGCACGTCGGGTTGTCCTCGGTCAAGTCTCACCCGACTGGGTGAGGTATAGGGCCCGACCGGGCCAAGCAGTTTTCTGGAGATTGCAAATGTTAATTCAAACCCGACCGGGTGAGGGTTTCTACCCGGCCGGGTTTATACTCCTGGGCAGCATTCTCCTTGTTTTTCTTCCTTTTCCTTGCCAACAATTCTATCAAAACTTCCTAACTCACAAATAAAAGCTATAAACACTTACAAATAAAAGTAAACAAATGTTTACAACTACACACAAATGGTAAACAATCCTCACAAAACAAAATATAAAAACATAGATTTATGCACTACTAACTAGTGCATATCAATATACAAAGTACTTTGTCATGCAAACGGGCTCGAACTCTCGAAGTGATTAAGGTTGTATCTAGATCAGAGGTGGAGCTAATGACGTCAGAGTGGTTAGCTGATACCCTAAATCTCTAATGGCATTTTTGTTTGAGAGTTAACCTAGGTTTTAGCAGGTTTAATTTTTAGTTAACCTCGTTTCATTCACTAGCAAAAAACTTCGTTATAGGCACGGAATATTGGCACAGAACACGTCCCTACCAAATTAGTCTCGGTTGTTGACTCGCAACAGCTACATCGCCGCTCTTGGCAGGGAAAAGTTGACGCCATTTCATATTTCGGTGTTGGCACGGAAACTCCCATCCAACTTCCGTTCCAAACACGAAAAAAATAAAACGTTTTGGATACCTGGAATATCTGATCCATAATCCATGTCATATTGTCTCGATTACCTCTAACGAAGTGATTTTGGGCAGCATTCTCCTTGTTTTTCTTCCTTTTCCTTGTCAACAATTCTATCAAAACTTCCTAACTCACAAATAAAAGCTAAAAACACTTACAAATAAAAGTAAACAAATGTTTACAACTACACACAAATGGTAAACAATCCTCACAAAACAAAATATAAAAACACAGATTTATGCACTACTAACTAGTGCATATCAAATACCCCCAAACTTGAAGTTTTACTCGTCTCGAGTAAAACAAATCATGTCCATGAAGTCTTCAAAACAAAAGTATCAAAACAACCATCATAAAGTGTATCTAGAAGCAAAATGATTACAAAATATCCCCACCATCAAGGGGTCTTCAAAATCGGTTCTCCCACCAATGAACTCCTTTCATCATCACCCTTAGGATCCTGCAAAGTCAAAAGAAATAGTTTCTCTCATTCTCTCATTTTTGCCTAGGTGCCCTTTCGGGTTTTCATCCCAGCTTCCCACATTTTTCTATTTTAATCCTCACAAACTCACTCTTATTTTTGCTTTATTTTTGCTTAAGTTGCCCTTTGTGGGTTTTCAACTAAACAAGCTATTTTCCTTTGTTCTTTTTTTTTTTAAGAAAGTAAAGAGTGTGAATGTAAGCTTACCAGAACAGTCTCCCCCCAGCTAGGTCATTGCACTGTCCCTAGTGCCCGCCCATACCTCCCCCATGGTGTATGTCCTCATCCATGTGATCCCCGCCATAACCATCATCATCGCCTCCACCACCGGAACTCGAGCCTCCAAAATAACCCCATGTAGTCTGATCGTACCAAGAGGGTGCGGAGGGGGGGGGGGATTTGCCATAGATTCAAATCCACTCTGGTGTGCCACATAGGAGTATAAAGCACCATAGGTCCTACGCTGATCCTCCTCATATCTCCGCCGGTCCTCCTCATACCTATGCCAGTCTGCTTGCCGCTGCTCCTCCATCCTCTCAATGCTCTTTCTGTGCTCGGTACGATACAGTCCAACTTCATCCCGAAGTTGGGTGTAGTTGTTGTTGAGCTTGGCCATGTTTTCGAGCATTTGTTGCTCGAAAGGTGTGTAGTGAAATACTTGAGGTTGTGGTTGTTCGGGTATGATCGGGGGTTCTTCGGGTATGAGTGGGGGTGCTTCATCATCTTCATCATGGATGGGTTCTTCATAATGATCCGGGATTGCCCCGGGAAGACAATAGTGATGACCATCCCCGATTTGGTGATCGATGATATCCAGGGGGACGTCGGCCGAGGGTATTTGGAGGTAGATGGAAGTGCGTGGGAGGATGCGCCAATTATAGACTTGTGCCCCGATTGGTGTTTTGTGAGAGGGTACCAAGCCTAGGGTCTTTGTTACAAGCCATTCAGTGCAAATAAGTTGTCTTGAGGTGATGGGGCCGGGGTCTATAAAACCATATAAAGTGGCTAGATGTGTGATTAGGCCCCCCATCACAATTGGTCCCGTTGATGTTGCTACGTTGTAAAAATGGGTCCATAAGATGGTGGCAACATCAACTTGATCCGGGCCAGGCAAAACAGCTTGTGCAAGAACACACACATCCCAAATTCGCGTGTGATGATTATTTGGTCTTCCGAGAAAACAATTTGAGCAAAATTTTAAGAATAGTCGGAAGACCGGATGTTGCACACGGTTCACGCTCAGCTTAGAAAGATCAACCACAGGTTTTCCTGTCATTCTTTTCCACAACTCATACCCCACAAGAGAATCATATGTACGTGCTTCATCAAACCATGGGAGGCCAAAATGTTGAGCAAATTCTCTTTTGGTTAATGAACAATTCTCATTTAGTAAACGAAAGGTGATTATGTCATTTGCATGATCATCCACATCTTTTGTATACGCAAATGAGCTAAAAAATTCATACACCAAATGAGGATATGTCACATATTGCATGTCAAAGACTCTAGTCATTCCAATTCTCGCAAATATGTCATGCATCACGGTATCAATCCATAGTAGTGCTAAAGTAGTTAAGCACATAAAACGGGATTGTTTTACCTCCCTCTTTGTTTGGTTGATGAAGCTTTCCCTTTGAGCTTCCGTAGCCAAATCCACATTCTCATAGCCCGACACCGGTGGTATAGCTCGGTTACCCCTTGAGGAAGAGGCTTTTGATTTTCTTGGAGCCATTGAAGGTAATTTTTTTTTTGGGTTTTTCTTGAGGGATTTTCGGACTTTTGGCTAGGGTGAAGTTCGGATGGCTTTTATGGGTATGATGTTGAAGAGGATGGTGAGAAGAGCAAGAATATGGTGTTGGTTGAGATTTTTTGGGAAGAATTCGGACCTTGAATGTCCAAGAATGGAGATTTTCGGACTTGGGGTAGGTTTTTATGGGTTTGGTTGATTTGGTTATTTTGGGAGGGATTTATAGGTATAGGGTGGAAGAGGGTGGAGAGGAGATGAAGAAAATGGTGTTATTTGATTGATTTGGTGGAGAAATGGGGTAGATTCGAAGCTTTTTGAGCTCAAAAATGGGGGATTTGGGGGGTTGGTTCGTAGGAAGAAGAAGAAGCAGAGTGGGAGGGAAAAAGGGAAACCCGACCTGTTATGCGGTCAAAATTCTTCTGCCCGGCCGGGTAAGGCAATTGACCCGGTCGGGCTGCTTGTTCTCGCTAATCCAGTAGCTACTGGAATGCAAACCCGGCCGGGTGAAGGTTTCTACCCGGTCGGGTATTAGTTAATTCTGGACTATTTAAATCAATTCTTTGTCCGATCGGGTTTGTGGTTTGATCCGGTCGGATATGCAAAGCAGTGGTCCGGTACCAAAAAAATTTAGTTACCCGGCCGGGTGTGTTGGAGTTGCCCGGTCGGGTAATTTCAAATTTTTGGAAAATGTGGCTTGCTTCGGTCGGGTGGAGGGCTGGTGAAAAATTTTTGTGCTAGATCCGACCGGGTTCAACAAGTTACCCGGCCAGGTCTGGCCTTAAATATTAATTTTTTTTTTTGAAAATCTTTTCTCACACACAAAAATAAATGAAAATGATCAAAATACAAACTTGGGTTCCCTCCCAAGAAGCGCTTGATTTAATGTCGCGACACGATGTTATTTTTATTTTATTTTCTGTTTTAAGTGGGATTGTGAACATCCCTTTTTTCCTGCTTCAAGGCCCTGTTTGGCCATGTTTCAATTTTAGTTTTCGGCCTTTTCCAGTAAGGCCGAACTTTCGCTCTCATTACTACCTCAACCGCAGGTGGTTTTAGTTTACAAGTTGACAATCCCCTTTCAACCGTAGATGATTCCCCCTGCTTAGTTTCCTCGTCTTGAAAAACTGGGATTTTAACAGACTCCTCCAAAAACTTTGGTTCTTGTGATTCAAAAACATTTAAAGAGCAAAGAGATTGATCTTTACTTTGTTTTTTCGTAGAGTCAAAGATATTGAACTCTACTTTTTGGTCATCGAACTCTAAAGTTAATGAACCACTAGACACGTCAATTTTAGTTTTTGCGGTTTTTAGAAAGGGTCTACCCAAAAGGATGGGTGTTGTTTGATCAGTATCGCCCATTTCAAGGACATAGAAGTCGACAGGGAAAACCATATTTTCTACTTCTACTAGCACATCTTCTATTACACCCTTCGGGTATGTAGTAGAACGATCCGCTAGTTGAATCACTACATTGGTTTGATGTAGTGGACCGAGTTGTAGGGATTTATAAACAGAGTAAGGAATGACATATATAGATGCCCCTAGATCCAACAAGGCTTTAGAAAATGTGGTGCTTCCTATCTTGCAAGGGATAGTGAACATACCCGGGTCGCCACATTTTTTGGGAAGTTTCTTTTGAAAAAGAGCCGATACATGTTCACTAACCTTGACCTCTTGTTTTTCTTTCAATTTATTTTTTGTTTTTGTTTTGCATAATTCTTTTAAAAATTTAGCAAAACGGGGAATACTTTTAATTGAATTAAGGAGCGGAATGTTTACCTCACACTTGGCGAAAGTCTCATAGATGTCAGCATCTTTGTCAAGCTTCCTTGTCTCCCTCAATGCCTCGGGAAATGGGGCCACTAGTTCATATGATGAAGGTGGAGGAAGTTTTGCATTTGTGATTCCCTCCTCAGAGTGAGCTTCTTCTTCATGATCAGCCTCCTCAATCTCTTGATCATTATTTTCTACCTTCTTCAACCTGATTGCATTCACATGTTGTCTCGGGTTTTGCTCCGTTTGAGATGGGAGTTTACCCGAGTCTTTTGCTTTCAGCCGGTTCACGGCATTTGAAATTTGACTGACTTGAGTTTCCAAATTATAAATGCTTGACTTTGTATCATGTTGAAATTGAATCATGGTTTGTTGAAATTGTCCCATGTTTTGTTGTAGGGTAACCATGTTTGAGGTCAAAGTTCGGATCATGTCATCAGTTGACATACTAGATTGAGAAGATGGGTTGGATTGTTGAGGGTTTCCATACCTCAAGTTTGGATGATCCCTCAATCCAGGGTTGTAAGAGTTTGAGAATGGATCGTACCTCCTTTGTTGATGGCCTTGGAAACCCAAGGCATTGACTTGCTCTGTATCGTTTTCTTGAAGAGTTGGGCATGAGTCAGTGGGATGCCCTTGTTGTGTACAAATGCCGCAGACCTTGACTTCTTGGGTCTTGGATTTTAAGAGGAAATCCTTAACCAAAGAAGTCAAGCCGGCAACTTGACTCTCCAATAATGATGTCGATTCCGCAGCGGCAACTCTACGAGTTGAGGACCGCCCGTTGTAGTGTCTAGAGTTCTCTGCCAACTCCGAGATGAGATCTCTTGCTTGAGAAGGGGTTTTGTTAACAAGTCCCCCTCCACTCGCCGCATTCACCATGCGCCTATCTTGATCCGCAAGACCATCATAAAAGTAGAGGATGAGGTCTTGCTCAGTGTACCCATGATATGGGCAACTAGCACATAACTTTTTGAATCGCTCCCAATATTCATATAAGGTCTCATCATCTTTTTGATCAATGTTGCTTATTTGTTTTTTCAAAGATGATGAGACAGAAGCGGGATAGTACCTTTCTAGGAAGCATTTCTTCATTGCTGCCCATGTATCTATACTCCCCGAGGGAAGATAGAATAACCAATCCTTAGTTGTGTCTTTCAAAGAGAAGGGGAAGGCCCTCAGTTTGATTTGTTCTTCGGTGACACCGTTTGGGCACATGCTTGTGCAAACGATATGGAACTCCGAAAGGTGTTTATTCGGGTCTTCTCCTCTCAGGCCATGAAAAGATGGCAATAGATGTATGAGCCCAGATTTTAGCTCAAACGTATTACCCTCATCAAGAGTGGGGAAGGTAATACACAGTGGTTGTTGATTCAAGTTAGGAGCTGTGAGCTCCCTCAAAGTTCGTGTTTCTTGAGCCATGTGGAGTGACTCTTCAGATCCGCTAGAGTGAAGACTAGCACTTGATGATTCTCCCGAGTCGGAGTTTGAGAATTTATTTTTCAACCACTCGAGAGTTTGTTCTATTCCGAGGTTTGATTGGTAAGTGATTTCGTTCAGTTAACGATATTTTACCATGTACTACAAAGCTCAGAAAGATAAGAATAAGAACTCTTTATTTTTTATTTATTTAATTTTTTTTTTCATGAAATAAAATAAAAAGAAAAATAATTGCCTTTCCCCGGCAACGGCGCCAAATTTGACGTGCACTTTGTCGTGATGTGCACTCAAAATAATAATACAATACAACACTTATACATAGTATAGCGTAGTAAGGTTCGTATCCGCAGGGAAAGGAATACTTCTCTTTTTATAACTAGTAATAAGGGGGGGTTTTAGATTTGTTGTTGAAGGACTTTTAAGAATATTAAAACACAAAGATGAACGAGTTATGTGGTTTAATTAATGAGAAGGAGACTTAGTTTTGCTTTTATCCACTTAATGAAATGTTCGTCGATCCCGGTTATATCTTTAACTATCTTCCTCTCGAATACTCAATCGAGGAGTATCTCCACTTCATCGAGGGTAGTTATTAATAACGAGACACGTTCATTAATAAAACTTACTACCGAGTTAATATTGAACACGCTCCGTATATTCACTCGATAGTAGCAATAAAATCAAGATGAAAATGATTGAGATTGATAACCCCAACACAAGCGGTTTATTGGTTTAATCAATATAATTAATTCCCCTTGGTTTATTAACCATGAAACACATGCATTAATAACCCAAGTTTACTACCGTGAAAGGACCGAATTAATAACAAGCGTATTAATCGACCGATTCTAGTAATAATTAATATATGAAACAAAACTAATTGATCCTTTAAGTAATGTTCAAAATATTAATATGAAATATGAATAGGAATTAAATAATACTCAAGGAAGAATATTAAAGAAGATGAATCCTACTATAGTTAATATCAAGATGTTAACTAATTGTCATCTTAGTAACACTCCCCAATATTAACATAGAGGAAGAAATAGCTATTACTATAACTAATGTCAAGATGTTAACTAATTGTCATCTTAGTAACACTCCCCAACATTGATATAGAAATAGTATTTAAAGGAAGAATTAATATTCAAGGAAGAAGATTAAAGAAGATAACTCACAGCTTACAAATTCATTAAGCTTCAAAGTAGCAAAACCAAGATATGGAAGTTTAGCTCCTCATTTGGAGACTAAACATGCTATAAAAATAAAAAGAAATATTATTCTAAACTGAGCTTAAGAGTATGGAAGAAGGGATTAATTTTAGTGAAGGAAAAGTGTGCTATTTATAGGTGTTTTTCAACACCTTTGGCCGGGTACCCGACCGGGTAGAGTATCTATCCGACCGGGTACCGGTGCGAATCAAATATCTTCCACGTTCTAGTGTTCTTCAGCACGTCGGGTTGTCCTCGGTCAAGTCTCACCCGACCGGGTGAGGTATAGGTCCCGACCGGGCCAAGCAGTTTTCTGGAGATTGCAAATGTTAATTCAAACCCGACCGGGTGAGGGTTTCTACCCGGCCGGGTTTATACTCCTGGGCAGCATTCTCCTTGTTTTTCTTCCTTTTCCTTGCCAACAATTCTATCAAAACTTCCTAACTCACAAATAAAAGCTAAAAACACTTACAAATAAAAGTAAACAAATGTTTACAACTACACACAAATGGTAAACAATCCTCACAAAACAAAATATAAAAACACAGATTTATGCACTACTAACTAGTGCATATCAATATACAAAGTACTTTGTCATGCAAACGGGCTCGAACTCTCGAAGTGATTAAGGTTGTATCTAGATCAGAGGTGGAGCTAATGACGTTGGAGTGGTTAGCTGATACCCTAAATCTCTAATGGCATGTTTGTTTGGGAGTTAACCTAGGTTTTAGCAGGTTCAATTTTTAGTTAACCTCGTTTCATTCACTAGCAAAAAACTTCGTTATAGGC